TTTTTTTTTTTTTTTTTTTTTCCTCCTCCCATCTATGCTGCTCATCAGCTTGTGGAGGTTTTTTGGTAATGATTAGGAAAACTGCCAAAGCTACTTCCTCTTGGAAATGCATTGCAGGCATTTCTCCATGGATTTAGAGAAACTGGTTCCTCTCCACGAGTGATGTTCTAACATGCAGTGAAGTCCTGGATAGCTTTAAAAAAATGCCACCTGCAAAGGCTCGGAGCTGAAAGGCGCCCACTGAGAAACCCAGTGTTTTGTTAACGTGAAAGTTTGTCATTTTTTAGCACTGGACTTTTGAGCGCTAGCGTTTGGCAGCAGGACCAGTATTAGACTGGTGCGCAGGGTGGCCCAGGGCAGAGGCGAAGGTGTGGGCTGGTTCTTCCCCCCTCGTCCCCACATCGAATAACTTAATTGTTAATTTGCTTGGGAAAAGGTGGCATGCAGTGCTCCCCGTCTACAATTTTATATTTTTTCGTGGCTGGTTACACGTGACCTAACTTCCCTTGCGGATGTCCTTGGGCTCCTGCCTTGGTTGCTTGTTCCTAAAACTCACTCCAGCTGGCAGTACGAAATGTGTAGACCTCTGCAATTACTGTGCAGAGCATGAGATGGCACTGTTTCTTCTGAAACCCTTGTGGTGAAGGGAATAGGGTAGGTCAAGGGTCAGCAAGATTTAAGGAGGGGCTGACTGAAGGCAGCCAAGTCCCCCTCTACACTGGTAGCTTATGTAGTGATTGATGTGTTACTAGTGGCATAAATGAAAAGGGCGTTACATGTGCAGCCATTTTAAGGTGCCATAAAATGGCAGACTGGCCATAAAAAAAATTATACATACAGTGTAAAGCAATTTTATGGCTGGTTTATATGATGGAGTTTCCCTTGGTAAGCTACTAATAGTCATGAGTGCAGTTTCTCCCTGATTTCTCAAGAATAATGATTTGAGTAGTTGAAGTTAAATGAACGTAGGAGTTGAATCGATCTGCTCCTTTACTCTGGTGTAAAGGTTGAGTACACTGATGTCAACATGTCCTATCCAGGCCTGAAAAAAGAGACAAAGTGTTGTGATTTCCCTGTAAAGCTCATTTAGTCAGGAGGCAGGGTTGAGACTGTGGACATGTACTATGGGTAATGTATCCCCAATGCTCCTCTTTCCTGTGTGGTTAGGAAGGGTTTCTTTCTTTCTTTTTTTTTTTTTTTTTCCTTTCAGTACTTCAGTTTTGAAAGTGCAAGGGGAACATGGGCAAGAATCAATGCTGAGCACCCACAACTTGAAAACAGTGTTGATAGAGGCTTGTGGGAAGTGTTCACCTTGGTGTTTAGGCCATTTCTGAAGTGCCTTTCTGTCTGCTGAAAAAAGATATCCCCTGGATTGCTACTGCAAGTGAAACAAGGAGCAGTGGTTTCAAGTTGCAGCAAGAGAAGTTTAGGTTGGATATTGGGGAAAACTTTCTCACTAGGAGAGTAGTAAAGCCCTGGAACAGGTTACCCAGAGAGGTGGTGGCATCTCCATCCTTGGAGGTTTTTAAAACCCAGGTAGACAAAGCCTTGACTGGGATGATCTACTTGGGGCTGGTCCTGCTTTGAGCAGGGGGTTGGATTAGATGTGACCTCCTGAGGTCCCTTCAACCCTCCTTTTCTGTGAAACTGCAGACAGATCCCTTGACCCCTGCTTCAATTTGCCCATCTATAACTATAAAGTCCTGGCTTCCAGTTTTGGGTGAGAATAGACAGTTGGGTTTTTTGGTGGCTCTTTTTCTGTTTGTTTTATTTGTAATAGTGCTTTGAATATGTAAAGCCAATTTCCTTGAAGTTTGAACATAACATGGGAGCCAGGATATGCTACAGAACTTGGCACTGAAGCCCATCCGCTCTATACTGGGATCCGTTTCCTGAGAATATTGTTGCCTGGCTTGGCTGCAGCAGATACTTGGAAGAACTTTCTGATGTAGAACAGTGTTAAATAGTTATTGGAAGAGAGACCCTTATTTGCAGTTAGATTTTTTATAAATGAGTGCCTGGGTCAGTCATTTGTGTTGGTTCTGAAGTTCTGTACTTCTGTATCCAGCACATGGGAATGAATGTATAAGTCACATGCCTAGCAGAATGCATAAATTACTCCTTCAGCATGTGCAACATAAAGAGAAGGAGCTGGGGGTTGTACACCTTCAAGATTAATGACAAAAGCTTTTTCTGCCTTCATGTACTAATAAAAACATGGTATGGTCCAGTATTATGACTCCTGTAAAGTGTGCTCCCTCTGCTGGCTTTAACCAACCCACTCCTGAAGCTGAACTGGTGTCCTGAGTGAGCTGAAGTGGGCCTACTGCCACTGCCCTAAGATGCATGTTCAAAGCAGCTGTTTAATTTTTTTGTGAGGGGGAGGGAGGCAGTCCTCAACCAGGGAGAGGGAAAATTGACAAATTTCATGCTTCCAGGTCTCTGAGGACACTAACAACAAAGAGAAGAGTGAGCTTATAAAGTATTACTGGATGTTGTCCAAAGTTGTTTTTTTCTAGGTGAAAGTAGATGATGACTTGAAGGAAGCTTTTGTGTTCAGCTGAATTTTGTGCCAGCCACACTAACCCCCAGCACAATGGGGCCAATGTTATGGGTGCTGTCTTTAATAATTTTGCAGCATGGTAGTTTCAGGCAGTTTGTATCAAACATTTTGCTAGACAAGGAAGCTACTGTTCCTGCCAAGAATCCTTCATTTTCTTCTTCTTTTTTTTTTTCTTTCCCATTGCACAGCGTGAGTGCATCTCAGTCCACGTGGGTCAAGCTGGTGTGCAGATTGGCAATGCATGCTGGGAACTCTACTGCCTGGAACATGGGATTCAGCCCAATGGCACCATGCCAAGTGATAAAACCATTGGAGGTGGTGATGACTCATTTAACACCTTCTTCAGTGAGACTGGTGCAGGAAAGCATGTCCCCCGTGCAGTGTTTGTGGATCTTGAACCTGCAGTGATAGGTAAATAAAATCAGCAGTGTGGACTGAACTGACAGACCAGCTGGAATGGTGCTTGAAGGTTCAGTTTACCTCTATTTCTGGTATGGTACAAATATTGTAAAAGCACTTAAAATATCTTTAGGCAAAGCTTAGTCAGTGTCTGTAACTGATACTTTTTTGCAAGTGACCCAGGAAACGCTCTGTTTTCTCTTAGCCTCTAACAAGTAACATGCATCCTAAAATTGAGAAGAACTTTGCCATACAGAAGGGTTTTAGGGTTAGATGCATCTGCTGGGCGTCCATTACTTGGCATCTAAGGATCCAGACATATACTTGGATCTTTAGATTCTCACATTGTTTCCTACAGGCCAGATCAGCCTTTTCAGATTACTGGATATATACTGCGCCTTCTGAACCCTCAAGGCACGTTTCTTTTGTCCACCAAATTCTCCTTATGCTCTTAGAAAAGAATTTATATTCTATATCTGTGTAACTGGAAGTGCACTTGTTAGAAGCCAATGGCTTTGTATTAAAACTACCAGCTAGAAAAGTTAACTCTTGTTTGCTTTGGGGTTCCCTTTAGTAGATTACCCCCAGTGTCCTTCTTTCTAGCACATCAGCAACTTTCATATGCTGTTCCCTGTGATTTACATCCAGACTCTTCATAAAACCACTTCCATCCTTTCTTGTTGCCCCAAATACACGGTTTTATTCTGTCCCCTTTGTCTCTTTATTTTTTCATGTTTTCTGCCTCCTAATCATGGTTCTTCTACAGGCTGTACCAGTTCTTTTGCATTAGCTTTCCAGAGACTACACATCTATGCCTTAAAGAAATTCTAGGTTCTCTTAAGTCTGTTGCTTAAGGCAGGGCTGGCTAACTTCTAAGTGGCTGGGGAATGCATGCTGTGAACACACGGTCCTGTACTGTGCTACCTGGTGTCATCCTCCACTCTACCATGTGTCCTGCTGCACCACATGTTTCTCTCCCTGTTCCTTTCTGCTCATTCATGGATAATTGTTATTACAAATTGTCATTACAAATTAAGCAAATTTTTAGATGTAATTGATCTTTACATTCTGGATAACTGGTGCTTGGCATAGGGAACTTATAAAATACACATTCTGTTTCTGTAGCTCATATTTTAATCACAGGGAAGAATCATAGAGGAGCAGGGCTAGATGGCACCTCCACAAGTTATCTAGTTCAGCCACCTTCCTGAAGTAGGATCATCCTTTTCCAAACAATCATATACAAATCCATTGTTTAAACCTTTTCATAAAATTTTTATCGACCCTGATGCAGCACAGACCTGGCACAGGTAAAGCAGGGGAACCACAGCAGCCAATGTCTTGCTTCTGTAATCTGCTAGAGTGGTTCAAAAGCCAGAAAACTAAATTGGCATTTGATTCTGGAAATGCAGATATTCAGTAAGGTACATAAATGACTCAATTTTTCCTAGCAATTAAATGCCTAGTAATCCAACACCACCTGGTGGGAACCCTGGGTGCATTTTTAAAATTAAGATGTTTATTACTGAGGTGTAGACATAGATTTGAGTGTTTAGTTTTGTCTTAGGCCAGGATCTTCAAACAGCATGCAAAACTTACTGTAATTAATTTGCACAATGCTTGTTTTTTTTCCACAGATGAAGTGCGGGGTGGGACATACAAACAACTTTTCCACCCTGAGCAGCTGATATCTGGTAAAGAGGATGCTGCAAATAATTATGCTCGTGGTCATTATACTGTAGGGAAAGAGATAATTGACCTGGTCCTAGAGCGCATCAGGAAGTTGGTAAGTCTTTTTATGATGGTGGCTGTTCTTTCAAGTGGGGATAGCTAACCTGTAGCATGCACATCACAAGTGCCCAGGGCAGCCTCTGTGGCCTGTGACAGATCAGGAGGGGAGCAAGAGGCACAGTAGCAGATAGGACAAGGAACAGAAAGCAGAGCAGCAGATCAGGCAGGGAAAGGGGATTAGAGTAGTATTCAGAGGATACAAGACTAATTTGTGGAACACCTGCCAAAAACGTGCACCCTGCTACCTTGCAAAATTCAGCTAAACATCAGAGTGTCATGATCAGAATACTCTAATTAAGCTTTCGTGGAACATTTGGGGCTCCGTTCAGTTCTGCACCCTGTTGCATGGTAAGGAAAGCTGTAGAGGTCTACTCAGTTATCTGAGTTGATCGGGTGTGTATGTTACTGATTAAAAATGGAAGTAGCTGATCATGGTTCTTACATGCAATCCAAGTGAGCCCTCTCAAATCATCTAAACTGCTTATGTTAAACACACGAGCTTTTATCCTAACATTTGATTTTTAAACCTACAAATACCAAGGATGAAGTCCTGTCAGTAGTGTCCAATTTCCATGTTTATTATTGGAAGAGGATCAGTTCCTGGCTGAGGTTACTTTAGAAATTTTAATCAAGGGGCTTTTACTTTGTTCCAGAATGGTTTGTTTTTGTGTGATTTGAATTCAGATCATATTTGAATACTTTATTCCGCTTTTTATTTAGTTTCCAATTTTTTATGGGAACAGAAAAACAAGGGTCTGAGACTTCCTTAAGCCATAAACCTTGTGGCAAACTGAGAAGAAGCAAAGTATCAAGCGGCGAGAATGTGCTTTGCATGCAGCCTTAGTTACAGAATGGTTTTGATCAGTGCCTAAAGGCAATAGGAGGATTTGGCCTTCAGTGCTGTAGTGGGTGGGGGGAAGAAGAACTTAAAAGTAGTATCTTTTTCTTCCCCCTTGCTCTTTGAAGGTCAGAGGAAGTTTGCTCTAAATTTTGACTCCTAAACTAGGGATGAGATGCCAGAGAAGTCTCTTTATATTTTTAGTCTGTTACAGCCGGTTACATACACTCCAAATTTGACAGGGTTTTTCCTTTCTCTTAAACTATTGAGTCCTCAGTCCTTCACATCTGAGCAGGTTGTATTCCTCCATTTCTGAAGAGTGAAATACTAGCTTTTTGCGTACTGCAGGGGGCTTCCTGTTTGAACTGGCTTGGAGAGGTTGCAACAGGGCAACCATCTCTTCTGTATTTACATACATGCTTCTCAAACAAAATGGATAGCAACAGGAAATGACCACAATATTGAATAGTGCCATCTCCTGGCAGGAGTGCATAATGTGTGCATAACACTTGGTACAGAACTTCAGCTTTCTGAGTGGTGAAGATCCTGAACTCTTTGCTTTTCAAAAGTCCAGTTTGACATTAATTTCCCTGAATTCAAATGTGCTTCTAACTTGGATGCTTTAAACCTGCATAATCTCAATTTAGCACTGGAACATAGGACAATACCGACATTTTGGGACAGATGTAGAATGTCAAATAGTATGCGTGTATAAAAATAAATGATGCCACAACTTGCAACTGTGTATTTACTGAACAAAAAGGTATGAAATGGATTTTAGGGAAATACTGTTAAAGTGAAGGAGGTGTAGATATCATAGAAAATGATTCATAGTAAAGGGGCGGTTTATTTGAATTTTAGATTCTAGTGTTCAGTTACTGTGTTCACATTTTAAATATTCTTTCTGTCTTTCAGTCTGACCAATGCACTGGCTTGCAAGGCTTCCTGATCTTCCACAGCTTTGGAGGAGGCACTGGCTCAGGTTTTACATCTTTGCTGATGGAGCGCCTGTCAGTTGACTATGGAAAAAAATCAAAGTTAGAATTTGCAATCTACCCTGCACCACAGGTCTCAACAGCTGTTGTTGAGCCCTACAACTCTATCCTGACTACCCACACCACTCTAGAGCATTCCGACTGTGCCTTTATGGTTGATAATGAGGCCATCTATGACATTTGCCGTAGGAACCTGGACATTGAACGCCCTACCTACACCAACCTCAATCGCCTCATTGGCCAGATTGTCTCTTCCATTACTGCCTCCCTGAGATTTGATGGTGCCTTAAATGTAGACCTCACTGAATTCCAGACCAACTTGGTGCCTTACCCACGTATCCACTTCCCCTTAGTAACCTATTCCCCAATTATTTCAGCAGAGAAAGCCTACCATGAGCAACTGTCTGTGTCTGAGATAACTAATGCTTGCTTTGAGCCTTCCAATCAGATGGTAAAGTGTGATCCTCGCCATGGCAAGTACATGGCCTGTTGTATGTTGTACCGTGGTGATGTTGTTCCTAAGGATGTCAATGCTGCCATTGCTGCTATCAAAACAAAGCGCACAATTCAGTTTGTCGACTGGTGTCCCACTGGTTTTAAGGCAAGTGCTAACTACTTCCTTTCTAAGTTGTACAATGGCTCTTCACTTGTTTTACATTAGGTTAGATTTTTGCATTAGTAAAATCAGGGCTGTGGCTCAGGTACTTAGTGGGGAGTTCATAGTGCTTTTAGGAGTGAAGATTTGCATTTGTTTTGAGCATGCAGCTCTTCGGACCATTATAGGGACAATTATGGATGGGTAAAATCAGATATCTACTTGATCTTCTATCTGATAAATCTGTAAACAATTGGTCATTGCCAAATATGGCAAGAAATCTAACCTTTTTTTTTCCCCCCTGCCTCTTCCAGGTTGGTATCAATTACCAGCCTCCAACAGTGGTACCTGGTGGAGATCTTGCCAAAGTCCAGCGTGCTGTCTGCATGCTTAGCAACACCACAGCCATTGCTGAAGCATGGGCCCGTCTGGACCACAAGTTTGACTTGATGTATGCCAAACGTGCTTTTGTCCACTGGTATGTGGGAGAAGGAATGGAGGAAGGTGAATTCTCAGAGGCTCGGGAAGACCTGGCTGCACTTGAGAAGGATTATGAAGAAGTGGGCACAGACTCAGTGGAAGGAGAGGATGAAGGTGAGGAATATTAAATTCCACAGAAGTGAATGGCAAGTCTTTGCCACTCTACAGCCTCTTTAGCAATAATGAAAATGTGGAAATTTCTTTTCTGAATCATGCCAAGCTGTTTGGAATAAACTTTTTTTTAAAATTGGAACCACTTAGTAGTCTCACTAACTCTACAGATACACGTCTCAACCACACACAGATTGATAGCCCAAACTCTACATTTGGGGGGGACAGAGACAGAAACCATACAAAACGCCATCCCCTACCATATAAAGCGCAACCTCCACTGTGGACTAAACTGTGAAGTTGCGGTACCTGATTGTGAAAATGATATGGCCCGCCTTGCTTAACAAGGGCCCTTTGCTAGGCTATGCAGACAGACAAGGAGTCTGTAAATGTCCTTCTGTAAAAGCAAGGCACACATCAAGTAACGGGGGAACATTATGGTATTTTGGTTTTTGTTCTTTGCCTGTCCTAATACTTGGCAGCTTTTCCTTGCCTGAAAAGGTGGAATCCTCAAAGACTTAGATGGGAGCTGGGCAACACCATCCAAGTGGCAAATAGGATCTGTATTTTGATTTGGAATCAGAAACCATTCATAGTGATTTGGGTTCTAATAAGGCACTTGGAGCTGCAGTCACCCATGTCCTGGAAACCAGTGCGTTAAGTGCTGGGGAAGAAATCCCTTGGATTAGTAAAGAAGTTTTATGGACAGCCTGTTCTTGCACATTGTTGCTCTTTTATTTATGATTTGGGTTTATTATTTATTTGAATTTCAAGGGTAGTTGGGAGCTGATCTGACTTGCGAGTCTGTGATAAAGTGGAAATCTGCTCATTTTATGGAGAGAAGTGTCTCCCCTAGTTTTATTGTCCTTATCAGCTATGCCCTTCTGTAGCTATTAAGCTACATGCTAAACTAAAGGCTTTTACTGTATGCATTGATTTGATAAAAGTAGCCAGAGCTGGTAAAGATGGCTACTTAAAACCAAATTTGACCCTGAAACTCTGGCATAATTCAAACATGATGCCTCTGGTCCCTTTTTAGGTCTTTGAAATACTTCCTCGCTCCCTAATGGTTGGAGTATTAAGTTGTTAGCCATGCACAAGGAGAAGCTTTTTGCTCAAGGGAATTTGCACAGGAAATAGACTGAAACAGGAAATGGAACCTGGGGAATCAAAGGTGGTTGCTGGAACTGGGGGGGGGGGGGGCAGGAAAAGCAGAAGACTTAAAAAGCTTTAGCAGCTTTTGTTATCACAGACGAGTTTGTATTAGAATTCAAGTCTCTTCAAAGTCCAGTAAAAACAAAAATAAAAGTATGAGGCAATTGAGTGTGGGGGGGGGGTGCACAAGTTCGAGGAATGTGAATAAAAATCTTTAAACCAATATAGAATTCCAAAAATAAATCGGTAGGGGGGAGAAGCTTGCAGGGGGGGGGAAATAGAAAATATTTGAAATTTGTTTAAGGAACGTAACACAAGGATTGGGTCTTACTGGGGGGGTGGAGAAAGGTGATTCTACTCCATTTTTAAAAACAGCACTCTAAACACTTCTAACTAGTCTACATTCAGTGGCACCCTATTCCAAGAACAAATGGCATTTTGGGCTGCCTGGGTGGTGGGCATCATGTACAGTGTGGATCTTGGACTAGCCAGAGTGGGCTCTACATGTGGTGGATGTCCTGTGTCATGCAGTTCAACTTGAACCCATGGGCAGCACCAGGGCCAAATAGGACTCTGGGCTGGATTTGGCCTATGAGCTGTACATTTGGCTCCCTCCCCAGCCACTTCCCCCATTATAAATGGCACAGATCTTAAAAATGTTAAAGGAAGGAAGTTGCTACAAGCCAAGGCTGTCCTATGCAGGGGTTGGACTCTAATCCATTGGGGTCCCTTCTGACCTGAACATCTATGAACCTGGCACTGTGGGCTGCCTGGGCCAAAATGCAGCCCATGGGCTGTGCCCAGTCACCGTTCCTGCCATTGCTCCTGCTGCTACGGCAGCTGGGGTCTCCAGGCCCCACTCTTCTGGCTTCTGGTTCTTTTCTGGGAGTGGGGCAGTGCAGTGGGATGGGGTCTAAAAGGTAAGTTGGTCTACACCCTGTATGCATCTCCAGGTAAATCAAATAAAAGCAGAATTGCCATGATCAGAAGAAAACCTAGAACTCTTCAGCTAAAGGAAAATGTGGACAAGGGAGGTTATGTTAACTATGCAGTCAAAGCCCTTTGTCACATGCATTATTTGGCAGGAAAACGTCCTAGACTGGAAAATGTTATGTGCCTATTGACTTTGGCTCAAGTGCAGGCATTGTACAAAGTAAGCTAGTATCTTAAGTGAGACTAGCAATTGATAGCTGCTAATCAGCTGATACAAAAACACTTTTCATGACTCATTTTGTGGCGGAGGAGGAAGTGGGCTAGAGCCCGCAGCAAGTTGCCAGAAACCATACTGCTCTTGCAGGTAATAGCAATTTTAAATATTGTTCTAAGATCCTGTTTGTACCATAGCGGGGAAATGCTGTGCATCTGAATCAGTGGTATGGAGCATATAATGAATATGCCTCATTTTATATATGGTAACAAGCATCTGCCACAGATGACTGGGCTGTTTTTGAGACGATTCAAATTATGACAGCTGCAATAGTGTTAATTTTGGTATTGTATACACTAGATAATCATTTACAACATGGTTGGAAATCCACAGGAATTTCCATACTCCCCTTATTGCAATGCAAATCCTTGGAAAAACCTACAGAGTCTTATACCTTCAGGTTATTACATAAGAGGGGGTTGAAAGCATGCATTTTTAATAGACCACTAATGGAAAGTATTATCATATAGTTCTCCCCCCCATACACACACAATTATATATATATATATATAATATAATATGTATAATACATGCTTATTTCCGTTCAAAAGGTCCAACTGATTGATTGGTTCCTGATGTATATTCAGGACAGTATAACAGGAACCAATCATATATATTAGACTTATGACTATATAATTTAGCTAAAAAATAAAGGCATGGCAGACCTGGCTGCACAGTCATTTACTGCACTTCGCATAATGCAGTATTTTTCTTAAAAGGAGGATTCCCAGCTTTGCCTGCAGTTTTCCCTCCCCCCCACCTCACTAGATCGACCAAACTTGAACAGGGAATTAGTGTAAGCCCCCTAGACCTTGTGTAGCAGGCATGCTGATGGTCTTTGTAATAATAATAATCTCTCTGGATCCCAGCTTCTTCATCGCTTTTCCATAATCAATTGCCATAGGCCAGTTTCACAATTACTTGCCCCAGTTTCTTCACAGCCTCTAATTCTGTCATCTGCTGCCCTCCCTCACTCTACACGTTATTTCCATTCTGGAGCAGCAGGAGCCTGGGGCTTGAACTGAGGTCTTTTAGTCTCATGGGCACAGGTTTGCACGGCTGCTCCAACACACGGCTGGCTGGATGTTAGACCCAGCCTGGCCTGGCCTTCCCGTGAGGTTCCCAGTGAGGGACCATGTGACCCAAGAGAATAAATGGAAGCCATAAGCCCTTGATGGAAGGGCTATAAAAATCCTCCCCTGGCCCTGGATCCTTGTCCTTGCAACAGTGCTTGTAGTCCTGCTATTTGGGAGTGTCCTGCCTTGGACAAGACTGAGTTCTGCCTGCTCGATCAATATGATTTTTGGAACAACTGAGCTCTGCTCAATCGATATGATTTGCAACTGATTTGCCCTGAAACGCCAAATATTTTAGAAAAGAAAACCAAACCAAACAGTTGTTCCCTTTCTGCTTACCCCCTGGCTCCTGATTCCTGTGCTGGCCTCAACCATGGATCTGACTCAATCCCCAGCATGAAAACTCAAACCTGGACTGATGCCTGTGCTGTGACTCTTGGCTTTGGCTTCTGGACTCCTGGTATTGTTGACCCTCAGCTCCTTTACCCTGACCCCTGTCATACTTGTGACATGAGTGCTAGCTCACTTGTTTCATGTAACTACTAAGGATCCATGATCAGTATATCATTTTTAAGTGTGCAGTTCATAAACCCAAGAGCACTAATATGCTCTCCATGTTGTTTCCCCCCATGGTTCTGCCAAATCAAAACGTTTCCTTTGGGGCAAGATCACACGTTCCCCTTCCCTGTGGTATCTCTCAGCCAAGTTCGTCTTCTATCTCCAGTTATGATCAGCAATTTTTTTCTTGGTATGATAGGAGCATATCTTTTCATTCTGCTTGGTCACGAATGGATGACTTCTTCTTGCTCAGTTTTCCAGGAAAAAAAATTAGGCAGGGGGTCGGACTCGATGATCGGTTGAGGTCCCTTCCGACCCATCTATGAAATTTATGAAAATATCTACTGTAGGCTGGCATCAAGTCCAGAAAACTCCAGTTCAAAGGTACCCATTTTACAAACTTACAACCATTTTATGTGGGGATGTACAGTGCAAATTATTTGGCAACCTTAACTAAAAAAGGAAGCAAAGGACAGGTGTCATAAAATACAGAGGTGCTGACCAGGCAGCCTGGTATACGGGGAGGGGTATTTGAGTCAACTACAAAACTGACCTCCTGATTCTTTGAGTGATTCATATGCGTCCCTTGGACTTTCTTAGGAGCAGACCTGGCACAGAAAAATATAACCCAGGTGAAACCAACTTCCTCTAATATAAAACGCTGAATTCACTTACTCCTACCAAGACTTCTTCAGTTTTTTTAGTACTGAGATGATGTTGCCATGATGGTCCAGGAAATATGTGAGAAGAGCAAGAGAAGAATTCCTCTGGGTGATTTCTTTTCCTGGGGGTGATATCTAACCAATGGCGTGGTTGGGATAAAAACAGGCAAGCTTTTGGGTATCACAGCACCCTTTCTCAGGCCTCAGAGAAAGAAGCAGACACAGCAGAGCTAAGTAGCAGAAAGCACAAAAAGTGATGTGGATAAAAACAGGCAGGGGAGATACAGTAGAAACCTGGTAATGGAAGAACAGGATTGTTCAGGAGGTCTCTTATCGCCTGTGAAGTGCACAGATTAGGGAATATCAAGTAGATTGTAATGGACTATTAAGTCATTGTCTTAAATTCCTGCTACTTAATGTCCAAGAGGCTTATTCATTTCTTTTCCCATGCATATCTTATAAAATTGTTTGGTAGATTGCCTCT